GTATTACCAGTGGGACAGAGAGCAGGAGATGGGAGGGAGCATCCACTGGCAGAGCTACATGTTTGGGTGAAAACCACAGAATGAGATCAAGCCTGAAACATGTAGGAAAGATGCCCTGGGTGGCAGAGGTGGGGGTGTGAGAAAGAGGGTGCGATGAGGCCAGCTGGGGAAGGAGGGGCAAGTCTCTGGTGCTCTGGCTCTGGAAGGAGCAGGGGTGGAGGTGTCCTGAGGGAGGAGGAGCAGAGCCTGGCTTCAGTTCTTGTCCAGGGGTACAGAAGGGAGCCTGGTATGGTGGGTTGGAGCCTATGGCCTGTGGAGCACACACAGGTATTTAACCCTGGAGTTGAGGAAGAGTACCTATGGAGCTTGGGAAAGACATTTTTGTTTCAAGGACCCCCCTATGGAGGCCACCTTGCACCCTTCTTTCTGGGTAGTGCAGCTGGGTCTGGGTAGTGCAGGAAGATCCCTATTTTGGTTACAAGGGATCCTGAAAGAGGCCAGGATGTAGGTCAGGTTAGGACCTCTGGCTAGCATAGGATTACATGTCTTGAATTCCTCAAAACAATGACAGAGTAGATTGTATATACACAGGTAGAACTGCTGGTATCAGAAGCTGAGAGAAAGGCTGGAGGGAAGAGATTCTCTGTGAGAGATTTTGGAGGGAGCACGGGCCTGACACCTTGATTCCAGAGAAATGGACCCAGATCTCTGAATGGAAGATATATTTACACACACACACACACACACACACACACACACAACTATATATGTATATATTTTTTAAATTTTAATTTTAATTCTTTGCAGTGTTGGGGACAACTCCAGGCCCTTGTGCATGGAAGGAAAGTGATCTACCACTGAGCTACATCCCCAGTCCTTTTTTAATTTTTTTGATACTGGGGATTGAACTCAGGGGCACTCGACCACCGAGTCACAGCCACAGCCCCCCCTCCTTTTTTTTAAATTTAGAGACAGGATCTCACTGAGTTGCTTAGTGCCTTGCCTTTGCTGAGAACTTACAATCCTGTCTCAGACTCCTGAGCTGCTGGTATACAGGTGTGCACCACCGTGCCCGGCTCCCTTTTTTTTTTTTTTTAAACAGTCTTGTGGTGGCATACTCCTGCAATTCCAGCCACTCAGGAAGCTGAGGCAGGAGGATCACAGGTTCGAGGCCAGCCTCACCAACTTAGTGAGGCCCCAGCAACTCAGGAAGACTCTGTCTCAAAACAGAAAATAAAGGGTACTGGGGATATGGCTCAGTGGTTGAGTGCCTTGGGTTCAATCCCTGGTACCAAAAATAACAATAACAGAAACCAGTCTTGTGTAGTTTTTTTTTTTTTGTTTTGTTTTGTTTTGTTTAAATACTAAGATGTCTTTCACTACAAGAACCTTGAAAAATTTGGCTCCATATTTTCCTTCTTGGAGACTTGAGTTTCATATTATCCCAATTATGGAAATATTTTCAGCATTTCTCACTTCATGCTTTGCTTTCAGATCACGGATGATTAGATTTGATTAGTCATGTGAGGGTAGATTCAAAAGCCAGCCAGGTGGAAGATAAGGTATTCAAAGGCAATGCAAACCACAGGCAGCTAGGCCACCTCTTTTACAGCTAGCAACACCTAGCCTAGGCCACAGAACATCCATCCCTCGAGTCATGGCCTTGTCTAGATTCAGAGCCTAAGACCTGCAAAACCACACACCCCCTCCATGAAGCCCAGAGCTGGTACTCAGTGGGGCTACAAATTGCTATCTCTTCAGGCCATGGGTTCACCAGTGCTGGGGCATCTGCCAACTGGATCATTCTCTCAGCCTGCTTGAAGACCCCACTGGGCCCAAGGGAAGCCTACAGGCAGACAGGCCCTGTAGGAAACCACACTGGAGATGTCCCCAGGCCAGGTGCCAGGTTCTCCCTGTTCTGAGACTCTGCTGTCTCAGATGGGCATGGGTATTCTTTCTCAGATGCCTCAGGCTGAGCAGAAGCAAGGCCCTAAGCAGTAGAGCAGGTTCATCTGCTACTCTGGGCAAAGCTAGGGGAGAGACCCTATTGCCTGCACCCCGATGCTTGAGTAGGGGTCTGTTCTGGAGGTACTTCATTCTGGAAAAGAGGGCCCTTCTTCTCTAACTGTAATCCATTTTTTTCTGCCCCCTGGAGGTTTGTTCAAATGGTAGACAATTTTTTTTTTTTGGTACTGGGACTCTAACCTCTGAGTTATATCCCCAATCCTGTTATATTTTGAGACAGGGTCTCACTAATTGCTGAGGGTCTTTAAGTTGCTAAGGCTGGCCTTGAACTTGGAATCCTCCTGCCTCAGCATACTGAGTTGCTGGATTATAGGCATAAGCCACCAGCCTGGCTCCCAGGGTCACTTCTTTATGTCAACAAGCTAATTAATGGGGAGGATCACATGGCAGGATTCTCTGAGGGGATGGCTTTTAATTCTGGGTCCTGTCTGGGACATCCAGCCTCTCTCTCAAGGGCTACAAGTCCAAGAGCACAGGGACCCTGGCAGAGGCACATGTGCAGGTTGAATGAGGGTCACCACGTGTGTGATTCAGGGGTGCAATGCCTGCCATCCATTGTCCCCCTTTCAGGCACTTGAAGTTAACAAACCTCAATCCCAATCACTCTTGGGACACCGCAGGTGTTTGGTGACTGCCTTTTGGATGAAGAGTGACTTTTCCCTCTGCTGGAAACACTATGCAGGAGCCCACGGGTCTGGTTAGTAATCCCAGGGTGCAGCATTTGGACCCGAGGTGATATAGCCATCACAGGTGTCTGTGTGACACTTGTCTGGCACACTGGAACTGGATGAAAGCAGTGTTCCTAGAGGTGTCCTCAAGGTGACTTGAAAGGAAGGGTGCTGCCCAAGGACTTGGACTGGGATCTCCTCCTAGAAACAGTAGATTCTTCCAGAGGTCAAGCACAGAGCTTTTTATTCAAAGAGGTGAAGGTTTGCACCCCGCCTCCTTCCCTGAAAAACCCTGTCTGCTTGGATGTCAGGTGTAGTGCTTTCAGTTTGGGGCTAAGCAGAACGTTACGTGTCAGTAGCCACCGTGGAAAAAAGCCACTGTGTCACTGGTGCATTGGCATTGATCAATGTGAAAGCTGACCTGGACCAAGAAAACAGGCCTTCAGCCTGGCTGTGGAAGGCCAACACCTTCCTGGTCCTTCTACACTAGAGTCCGACTGACACCCATCTCATGGAACATAGCTGGAGAGCTGTAAGTGAGGGTTAGGATAGAGGGGGCTTTGTGAACCGGCCCCTCTGAGCAATTCACTGCAGAGCCTGGTGGGGCATTAGGTGTAGACAGAGGATTCTCTGACGGATCCCCTCCCTCTAGGGATTGCCCAAGGATGCTGTCCAAGAACAAGACCATTCTTGGCTAACCTTCCTTTCTCAGTGTCCTGAGGCTGTATCTCCAAACAGTGACTTTCTTCTCTACTCAACTAGGGCCACAGGTCCCTTTGGGCTGGAACTCATGCCCTTTCACCTATAGCTAGGAGGGGGGCCCTGACATGGAGACCTTACAAGGGCACGTTCTGCCTCATCTCCCCCCATCTTGGGGCCAGACTATACCAGGGAAATGGGTAGGAACAAAGGCCAAGCTAGGAGTTGGAGAGCAGGGTGTTTCTCATATCTGATGGGGATAGGGACCCTTCAGTTAGACTTTGCAGTAGCTGTTGCTTCAGAAACCACTACAATGGGGCTTCTCAGCAGAGGGCCTGCTCAGACCTTCACTAATGGCCAGATACCCAAGGGTTTATGAGGGCTCACTACATCCAGGTTCATCCTGGCAGAACGTAGCTGGTGGGGGTGTCTGTCTCCTAGATTCATCATCAGTCTGTAGGCCCGGGCCATTATCATTCTGTCTGAGAGAAAGGATAGGTACCACCTTGGGAGAACTGGCCCAAAACACAGATAGAATTTCTGGTCATTTCTGCCTATGAGTGTTTTGGTATTAGGCTCCCTCCAGGAGGGAAAGTTAAATGACAGGCCCTGCCCATGTCTCTCCTGTGAATGGAGGAGACACAAGGCAGGGCAGCTCAAGCTATTTGGAGGAAGATTCTATTGTCTATGGAACAGAACTAAGTTTTGATGCTAATGTCAAAACCCAGGCTTACTTCCATCCTGGGCAGTTCCTGCACATGCATGCATGTGCATGCAGGGTTGTCTTTCAAGCCAAACCTGAGGTCTTTTTTTTTTTTTTTTTTGGTGGTGATGGGGATTGAACCCAGGGCCTTGTGCATGTGAGGCAAGCATTCTACCTACTGAGCTATATCCCCAGCCCTCAAGCCTGAGGTCTTGAGAGCAGATGTGACAGCCATGCCTTTCTCTTAATTCAGGCAGGGAGTGGGGAAAATCCTTCCAGAGAGCAGCTGTAGGTAGGTTCTCCTGACATCAGTACTCCACCTCAGGTCCCCAAAGCCAGCCCTGTCCTGCCCTTCCATCACTAGCCAGGAGCCAGGGCCCCAACCTTCCCAAAAGATGACAGCATCCCCCTGAAAGCCAGAAATGAGTTCTTGGGCTGCCCTGTTTGGAGCTCTCTTTGAGAGCAGTAGCTGTGAAAGCCCCCCAGATTGGAGAATGAGACCTGATACCCCTCTCTGGGCATTCTGCCTAGGCGAACTCAGAGAAGTCCCTACCTTCTTCACTGTCCCTAGTCTATCCCAACATCGAGAGAGGAAGGAGGGGGGTCACTGGGATGGTGAGACCAGGCAAGTAGCCTGGGAGGAAGTGTCAGGAGGTTCTGGGGAGGACATTAACCAAAACCCCCAAACACGGTTTAGTAGCCACTTTAAGGGTTTGGTTGTCTCCCACAACACCTATTCATCTAGCACCTCAATAGAGTCCTCGTCCTTTATCTCTTCTGAATGCTCCTCTGTCGTTTGGGTGCTCTCTACATCTGACAGTGATGATACCTGCCGCACCAAGTCCTTGTCACTGGGCATCTCTGGCTGCCATGGTCTGGAGAAGGGGTTGAACCAGTTCAGGGAGAAGTCCCCGCCACAGGTGTCTTTCACCGAACTCCAGTTGGCCCTGTGCTCCCTGGGCTGATTCTTTCGTTTGAGGCGCTCGATGCCCTGGGGAGGACAGGAGAAAGAGCGTCAGCATGGTCTGGGGCTGGACTTCATGAACACTCCCGGGTCCTGGCATAGCAGAGGGACGGAGCTCAGGCCGGGGTAAAGTGGCAAATAACAGGGCATATTCCTTTGTGGCCCAGGTCACCTGGAGGCCCTCAGAGGGCTGCTGAAGTGTGGGTGGGGAGTAGTGTGGAGGAGTCCTAGCAAGCAGGGCCTGCATAGCAGCTGGCCTATGTCTGCTGCCCACTCCCCTGGCCTCCCCCTCCTTTCTTCCCAAAGGTACAGGCCAGCTGCTGGACAGGGGCCACGTGCTGAGTGGCCAAGGGCCAAGGAGTAACACCCTGGGCCTCTCCATCTATAAGAACCAATAAGAAAGGTAGCCTGTTTCCTGGGCCTTGCCCCTCATGGTAGGAGCAGCAGGTTCTGCATGGCGATGGCTGATGGGCAAAGGCAAGAATGCAGGACACACACAGCATGCAAGGTAAAGCAGGTACCAGCATGCAGCGGGCACTGGGGGTCACCAGGGATTTGGGGCTCAAGGTTGGCGTCAGGCCTGCTCATGCAGTGGATATTCCCTGTGGCCTCTCCCAAGCTGCCCACTCACCTGCCTCTGGGTGTTGGCTGTGGCTCGGCCACCAGGCCACAGAGGGTGTTGGGATAGGGAAGCCCAAAGGAGTTAAAAACACAATGAGGCAGTTCTCCAGGCCCACAATACCCTCACAGAGGCTTTGACCCCCCCCCCCAGTGTGGTCTGCTTTCTCCATCTCTTCTGGAAGCCACAGGAGTTCGCTGTGAGTGTGGCAGACATGGGTGTGTTCCCTCACAGGACTCAAGACTACCCTTGAGAGATATTTGTACCTTCCATACCAGATGTATGCTCTTCCATACAAGATCCTCAAGTAACTCACACGATCCTTTGTTTCACAGAAAGAGAACTTGAGGGACATGTATTGTCTCAGACCGACCACAACCCACCCTACTTCTTCTCATACCCTTTCTTCCCACCCATCTCAGTGATTTAAGTTTCTTGACTTTTGAAAAAACTGTAAGTTAAATAATCTGAGCTCAAGGTATCTCATTATGAGAAACTTTTTAATTCCCAAGGGGAAAATAGTACCTTTACAGTAGGAAAATGTTGCAGTTACCAACTTAACCAAATGTCAAAGTTAATGTCACCAATAAAGAAACATCATCAACATCAGGTGTCACAGTGCACTGAGGTCATAACCATGGTTCAGGGATACTCTTGTATAACTTCAATCTAACCATGGGAAAATATCGGACAAATGCAAAGTGAAAGATATTCTATAGAAAGCATGGCCTACCCATCTTGAAAAAAGGTCAAAGGCTGTGACGAACCTATTCTGGAACTAGTTAGAAGTGGTGATGGTACACTACAAACACACTAAATACCATGAAATTGTATATTTTTAAATGATTACCTTATGTGAATTTCACCTTAGTTTAAAAAAGGTCAGGGTCATGAAACGTAAACAAAGACTGAGAAACTGTCACAAGTTGGAAGAGATTAAAGAGATAGGTAAAATGATGTTAGCTGGGTGTGGTAACACACACCTTTAATCCCAGGGACTCAAGAGGCTAAAACGGAGGATTGTTAAGTTTGAGGTCAGCCTCAGTAACTTAGTGAGGCCCTAAGCAACTTAGTGAGAGCCTGGATCAAAATAAAAGCTAAAAAGGACTGGGGATGTAGCTTGGTGGTAAAGCACTCCTGGGTTCAATCCCCAGGACCTTCCCCAAAAATGTGATGTGGGATCCAGGGATAGAAAAGGACATTAGTGGGACAATAAGAGAAAAATGAATAAAGTATACAGATTAGTAATTAGTAATGTATCAGTAAATCCCCCCCCCTTTTTAAAGGGGTCAGGGTGTGCATGGGGTTATATTGCCCAGGCTGGCCTTGAGCTCCTGGGCTCTAGCAGTCCTCCTGCATCAGCCTCCTGGGTAGCTGGGACTACTGGAGCGTGCCACTATGCTCAGCTCCAGGTTTTTTTTGTATTGTGGTTGTCTAAAATGCTAGCCTGTGATGGCAACGGCGGAATGATAAATGGAAACTCTTTATACTACTCTACTTTTATGTAAGTCTGAAATTACATCACAATGAAATATTAAAACAACAAAAAAAATAAGATTCCAAGTCATATTATTTCTGCAGTAACAATCTGAACACTGAATTATAATATAATAATGAAAAGTTGGAAACAATGTCCAATGATGAAGGTGAAGTAAATGAGTCTGTAAGTCAGAACACTAGGCAACCATTAAAAATGGTGTGCATACATTTTTACATGACACTGGAACATTCCTTCTGGTGTCAAGGGAAGAAAGCAAAGGTGCACATGACATTCTCATGGAATCTGCAATTACCTTCAGAGTGGGATTTTAGATGATCTATTTATTTCTATAGACTTTCCCATATGTTCCAGGTTTTTTTTTTTTTTTTGGACTAGGGATTGAACTCGGGGGCACTTGACCACTGAGCCACATCACCAGCCCTATTTTGTATTATAGAGACAGGGTGTCTCACTGAGTTGCTTAGCACCTCGCTTTTTTCTGAGACTGGCTTTGAACTCATGATCCTATCTCAGCCTCCCAAGCCACTGGGATTACAGGTGTGCACTACTGCGTCCAACATGTTCCGGGTTTTTACCAATGAATGGGTGTTACTTTTCTAATCAGAACAAAAAGGCTATTTCAATAAATGGACCTTATAGATACAAGTCCGAGGGACCCTGAGTGGGTCATGGACTCAGGAGGCTATGATGGCCCCTCACCAGACCTCCTTAGCAAAAGCAGTGACAACCAACTGAGGCAGCCTGCTTTGGGAATCCTGCATGTCCTTCCTGGATATCATCTGAAGTCTGTCAAAGAGAGCTGGGACAGGAGGCAGAGCATGCTACAGGAGATGCCCAGAAATGTCAGATTTGCTGTGTCCATTCAGATGGGACTCATTCAAGGCCATGGCTATCTATCAGTCCTTCCTTTACAGCCACTCTGTGAGGAGATGGCCATTAGTACTGACGCTTGGCAAATAGGGAAATAGAAGTTCTGAGAGGCTGTGACAGAGTCTAAAGCTCATCCAGATGGTTTTGTAGAACTGGGACTAGAACTGGTGTCTTCTCTCTCTGCCCATTGTTTTCCCAATTGTACCGGAAAGCCTCACTCTCCATGAGCTGCTCTCAAAGTCAGAAAAGACATAGAGGAGAACAAAGCAAAGAGCACCCAGGGTTACAATTTTCCATTCATGTGGCATGCTCCCAGATGAGCACTCTTGCATTATATTCAACCTCAACAAGCTCATCAAAGTATTCAAGACAGAACCCGGCCTGTGTACCCATACACAAATTCTTCAGTAATTAAGCGGACAAACGTTCAAGGAATGTCAACTTTGAGTATGGAAAGAAGAAAATATTCCAAGTGAATATGATACATAAAAAGGACCTGGGGCACTTAACTTGGAATTTTGGGTGGATTATAAAGGTGTCCTGAAGGCAGAGTTCTTAAGCTAGAGGTTTGCAGAGGAGCAGTGATAATTCAGGCTTGAGAGAACAGAAATGGCTGGCTCCTGTTAGGAGGGCAATGGCCTACACCTACACCTCTTTTGGGGATGTATGACTTGGCTGACGCATGAGCTGAGACCCGTAAAAAACTCAACAGTTCTCCAAAATGAATGTATCAGAACTGAGGCTCCAGAGGAGGTCAAGCATGTACTCTGCACAGGCTCTTTCACCCTTTCTTGGGTGAAGAAAGTCAGAACCTCACTCGGCAGCCCACATAAATATGCCTCTCCAAGTTGGTCACACAACACCATCTGTCTTCAATGGCTTCATACCCTCACCCACTGGCCCCAACCAGGATTTAACCCAGGGGTCTCTACCACTGAGCCACATCTCCAGTCCTTTTTTATTATTTTGACTGGGTCTCCCTGAGGCTGACCTCGAACTTGCAACTTTCTTGCCTTGGCTTCCTGGGAAGCTGGGATTACAGGTGTAAGCCACTGTACCTGGCCACACCTTTTAAATGTAACCCACAATTGGAAATATTTTTTGTTGCAACTCAGAATACAAACACATGTACATACACAGGTATACACACCCATAATTTTATGACTCTTATCCTACAATGTGCACTGTATTTAAAATTAAAAACAGAAACCAAACCAAAAACCATGCTGGTTAACCACTGAATTGATTACACAAGTCAGGAATGGTTGTGACCCATTGTTTGAATGCAGCTAACGTTCACTAAAGCCACACCATGTGCCACACACTATCCATTTATAATCGTTACTCTTAATATTTGTGTCCATGCCCATTTTATAGCAAGAAGTGAAGCTTACGGAAATGAGTGTCCAAACTTATGTCTTGGTAGTAAGGTGTACTAGGAAGTAGCCAAGCAGGGGACTGAACCAGACTGAGGCCGGATCCCTAATGCTTGGTCACCATATCACACAACCTTGGTTGGAGAAGTTCAGGGCATCCCCTTATTTCTCTGTTAGAACGTGTGCCTTCTTCCCCCAGAAGCCTTTTGGCAAATCTCCTCTGTAGTCCTTGTCCTATTCCTCAGATCTGCTCCATCAGCTCCTGCCATGAGGACTGAGGGTGGAGAGGGAGCCCCGGCCCTCCCTGCTTTGCTAAGGGAACCACATAGCTCAAGTCATCAGGAACTTTCTCTCGAGGAAGAGAGTGGGAATGAAGACTTCAGTTTGAGAGCACATTGGTCAGTGGTTGGTTTCTGTTTCACTGTGAATTCATTTTATTTTTTTGAGACAGGGTCTCGCTATGTTGCCCAGTCTGAGCTCAAGTGACCCTCTGGCCTCTGCCTTCTGAGTGCTGGGGCTATAGATGTGCACCACTGAAACTGGCTCATAGTAAATTCTTTCTCTTCTATGACTCTTATGCTGCATATGTCTTTAAAAGATACAAGAAACAGTCATGTGGGTGTGGAGGCCCACAGATGGGAACCAAGGCCAGGACATGTACCTGTGGCTGTGCTGGGCAAATGCCCCTGGCTGTCTCGAGTACTCACCAGCTGGCATTCCCATCTGGGGGTCCCTTGGTTCCACTCTTTCCTGGCTCCCTTCTGGGCTGGTTCTTCAGCAAAGGTGCCCTTGGCCGAGACAGCTCAAATGAGGAGATGCTTAGGAGGAGCACTGGGTGCGGCTTCCAACAGACCATTCTTGCTTTCTTGGCATTCATTTGTTGCAGGTGCCACATGTGGGCATAGGGAAGAAGGGCTCAGTGGATTCTCTGCAGGGGAGCACCTATGGCCTCAGAGATGGCACAGCCCACTATACTGAGCCTGGCCGCACATTGTGCCCACCATCAGCAGGCATCAAGGGTGATGCTAAATTAGGGGTGACGCTAAGTACCACTCTCCAGCCCCTAGTGATATCATATGCTTGAGGCCCTGGGCTTGACCCCTGGCACCACCAAAACAAACAAACAAAAGCCAAGTGGTTTGTTCCTTGGAGGCTGTTAAAACAGTCTACCAGGCCCTACTTTTAGAATTCTGGTTCAGTAGGTAGGTCTGGGGTAGGGCAGCTCCAACAACTTCCCAGGCGACACTGATGCTGCTGGGCCAGGGACTACCAGAGAGCCTTGAGGAATTCTAGCAGAATCTTTCTTCATGTTTCTTTGATATTTAAGGGGCTCTGGGATGGGGTGCTGCTCCGTGGTAGGGCACTTGCCTAGTATGTGTGAGGCTCTGGATTCCATTCCCAGCTGCAAACATAAAAGGTGGAGGGGCAGGGTTCCTTCTAAGTTGGGACCCCTCACCTCTTAGCTGGTACGCTGCAAGTTTTAAAATAAGAGAAGCTTCAAAACCACTGGCCTGGTAGGAGAGCCCAGCCTCCCAGGGAAGAGCCTGTGTGTGATGGCAGCCTTGCACAGGAGTGTTCACTTCACTTCAGCTGGAAGACTTCTGATCAGGTTGGTGGATACTTGACCAGAATGAGCAAAAACTGGTAGTTTTTTGCTCTTTCAAGGAGTTATTACAAAGACAAAATGGTATAACTAACAGGAGGTGTGGCATGTGCATTTCCACCCAAACATACTTTGTGTTGGCTGTCACCACCATGTCCATGCAAATATGCATCAACTCGTCTGGACTTCAGCCTTTTGTATGTTCTGTGTGGCTGACATTGACAGATAAAAGGAACCTGGGGATCACCTAACCCAACACGGCACGTCTTTTTCATTTCACTTCTCAGATCCCACGTTCCAAAAGCCTGGCTATACTGGTTCATTTTCCCATGGGGGAAGAGAGATGTCCTCTTTCATTTCATCTGAAAATACTAGGAAAGCTCAGGGGGGCCCTTCTCCCTGCGAGTACGCCAGACTGGGAACCACTTCCTATGCTGTGACACCACATTCCTAAGTCACTGCACTCTCAACAAAATGTCTAAAGGAAAATGAAATAGGAAAAATCCAGGCCACCTAGGAGTAAGCTGAGTACAGCATTTTATTGTGACTTGAGTGCTAGGGACAGTCACTCTATCCAGTCTAAGGGCTTGTACAAATCCAGAGATACAATCAGTTGGGATGTTTGAAAGAACCTTCCTCTCAGAGAGAGAAACTCGGTACACTCAGGTTTAAATCATGAGCTTCTATTTTTAGAAAAAAAAAATTCAATGCAGCACTATCTACTGCATTCCTTTGAAATTCCATGGGAAAAGCAGCAACACACGTCACTTTAAAATTGTCCTTGAAGATGGAGGATTCTGAGGACATCCAAATACGTAAAAGCTATTTCCTGAGTAAAAGTCCCTGTCCCCTAGGGGGAGGACCAGAGCTGCAGCACTGTCTCCCAAGGGACCCATTCCTTCTTAACTGCTAAGAGTCATCTAACAGCCACTCTTCTTTCATGCACCTAAATGAAATGTTAAAAAAAAAAAAAAAGAACGTATATGGAGAACAAATGCTATGAACTTGATTAAAAGCAGGCTTTCTTAAAAAAACACTTAAGAACTGAGGCTTGATTCTATGGCACGAATAGCACAGTAGAGGCAAGTTCAAGTTACCTGCCTTAGGGAGGGTCACAGAGTTGCTCGACTAAACAGCTCAAGGGTGCCGTCTCCCACCTGGCAACTAGACACCTGAGGCCAAAGCTCCTCAAAGAACTGCACCAGAACAGCACTCACCAGAGTTCTGCAATGTTTTCCTCTGGCTGGACTTGGCTTTTGGCTGGGTGGCTCTGCTCACAAACTCCAGAGAGACTTAAGGACTTGCTAGAGCCACGAAGAGCTCATCAACACCAAGCAGGCAATTAGACGGCAGCCAGCCAAGAGACAGGCCTGGTGGGGCAGCTTGTTTGAGAGGGACCATAAATGTCCTTTCAATAGAAATCTTTAAGTAAAAAACCTTCATTCAAGAGAGGGCACAATGAAACCACCACTCCAGCAGAGAAACCTCAGCAGCTATGGGCGATCTACCCTCCTCTGTGGGTAACATGGGAGAGAGGAAAGCTAAATCAGAGCAGGTTTTGGAAAAGTTTTATTGCATTGTTTCCATGTGGAAGCACTGACAGAATTAAAAGAGGGAGCATGTTCCACTGACTTTTCTGAAAAATCACATGGCTAGATTAACTTTCTCCCTACCCAGGCCTAGACTGAATAAATCTTATCCCCCGCCCCCACCCCAAGCAAAAGCTAAAAAGGGAGATTTGTGACAATYGCTTAAAAAACAAATCAGTGTGTAGGAATTCACAGATGGTCAGGATTCAGATTGGTTATTTTTGTGTCTGAGGGCACTCCCTATCTCCTCACCTCTCCCCACCACTCTTGGTCCTTCCTCTAGCTTGTCACCACCTCTTTCAAATGAGACCCAGTGGAGTAAGTGCCTCCCATGGGAAGGCTGGCCTTCCTCAGTGCAGCAGGGCCAGGTGCCCCTGCTCAGTCCAGTGAGCGGACATTCTTCTGTCAACATTAAAAATGTTGTCCCAGATCATGGTTAGCCCCATGCCAGGACAACAGTCTCCTAGGTTAAAATAAGACAAGGGTACGCACATTCCATGGCTCTTAAATARCAGAAAGTGGACCCATGTTAGAGATTTACAAAATGAGAAGGGCTTGACGGTGGGGCACATGTGTTCCACCCAGAATCAACACTGCTTAATTGATATCTCGCCAGGGAAGGGAGGGAGATGGGGCGGTCAGGGAGGAAGTAGTTGTGACAAAGTTGTAACATAGTAGCTTGCCTGAAACTGCATGGCCCCCCACCCCTTTGATTGTACAGGGCATTTTGAAATGGAAAAACTCCTTTCCTTCATTTTCTTCTGAAATCATCAGAGGGATAAAACTGCTGATTTAGAATACAAATTAGACCCCTTCAACTCTCTCCCCTTCCCCACCAAAATTATTCTACACACCCCAGRCCCATAAAGTACWAGGCAGAATAACTRATTTTGTGAATGAGGAGGCAAACCGTGTCCACTTKGGGGAGGAGGCTGCTGAGCCACCGGCCCTTCTGAAGGCTCCAGCCCTGATCCTGCCCTTCTCAGGCCTCAAGGGGCAAATATCCATCTTCAGTGAGTTTTAAGTCCCATGGGCTCCTGCCACTGCCTCCTGGGCAGTGGGAGGCCAGGGCCCTCCTGGCTTTCCTACCAGGCCAGTCCATCCACGCACAGCATCATGTCTCACTCAATTAGTAGAAATGGACACGGCCTGGAGACAGCACCCTCCACGTTAGTCATGCCAGACAGATAGCAGAGAGGAAACCAGAGGCCAGAGAAGTGATTTTAAAAGGAAAAAGAAGAGCAGCTTCGGTCATCAAAAAATCAAAAAGGATGATTTTTAAAAAATAAAACATGGGGATTTTTTTTTCTCTGCAATGTTCAGCCATTTTACTTGAGACATAAAAAAAGTTTTAGAGTAGTTGATTTGCTTTTCGGTCTAAACATTCATGAGAACAGATCGGACGATAGTGCTGTGATGTGGTTTGTGTCTGAGTGGCAATGCTGGTCAGGGGTCCTTCAGACCACATACTGGTACGGGTYTGCCTTCCCTTGATCTGGCGTGGCAAAGGGGCTGGCCCAGCCTAGAGAGAAGGGGTGGCCMAAAACTGCTTTCATGTTCATCCATTTTGTTTTTTTAGCCCATCTTCTCTCTTCCTTTTTCAATTGTTCTATTCCCTGAAAACAAGAACAATCATACTTTCAGTCAAGCACTTTATTGCTGTAGTTTTGGGGAGGGACATCCATTAGCTTGAGATGACTGGAGTAAATGCTTCCTTTTTAAAGCAATATACAGCTATCTACATGTTGCATTTTTCTTCTCTGTCCCTCATAAGAAGTGTCACACATACAAAAAAAAATGCTTTTTTTTGGTGGGCACATATTTACAAGTCCCTCAGAGAAGGAAGGGAACATGAGCGCAGCCAGGAGACACCTAAGCTGTTGTCCTAACTGTGCCAATCCAGCATATTGTAGGTTGGGAACATTCACCAGACCTGGTCCTTCCTGGGCTCTAGAGAGGAGCTTGTGGCCTGTGAGGGTGCACATGGGACTGCAGTGCAGGCTTTGGTGGGGGAAGCCTCAGAACTGAGGGGGACCCTGCAGTCATGAGAATTAGCAGTGGCTGCTAAATTGGGATAGATTCATGGGAAGTTTGAAGCTACTATGACTACTTTGCAGACAAAAAAAAAAAAAAAAAAAAAAGCAACAAATCAAATGACTGCTCTGGCGCTGAGTCTCACCAGCCTGTGGGGATCCAGAAGCAGCTGGCTCAGCGGGGCTGGCGAGACACAAACCAAGAAGATAGAGCAGAAGTGAGAGGCCGTGGGTGAGGGAAGAAGTCACCAGAGGAGGAAGGAAAGGGATTAGTATAGGTCAGCCTCAGTCATGGGGAAGGTCTTCCATGTGCTCCTTTGGGGCAGAAGCGTGGGGGAGGCCAATGTGGCAATGTCACACAGCCTGTGCCACTTCCCTTGCTATATTTCACTGGAAAAAATGGGGACTAGGAGGAAACTTCCCCTTTTCCCTTCTTCAGATGGAGCTGGTCAGCTGCCAGCAGAGCTGGACAAAGGGCAAGGCTTGAGTATGGGCCCCTGTGCAGAGGCACAGGAGAGAAGCTGCCTGGCAGGAGCTCAGCCAGAGCTGTCTGCTGTGGTCTCTGGTGGGATGGGGGCTGGGACAGTCCAGTCTGAGTCTTCACAGCCAAGGGACCTGGGAAGAACCTTGGTCAAGGGGAAGATACCCTTTTCCATGAGGTGCAGGCCCTTTGTTCCTTTCTCTTTAGCTTTCCAACATATCCCCTTAGGAATAGCCTTGATGGGGAAGAACAACTAGGACCAGGCCAGGAATGTTTTCCTTCTGGCCCTCCAACAGCATCCTGAAAGTGGGCAGAGCCTGACAGTCACCTTTGGGTTCCCTGCAGCTTTTACACAGAGAAGCTGGTCACTTTACTCTTTGGCTACATAGCTGGATCTATACCACTGGCTACTATTTTACAGAAACTCTTTTGCAATGACATTTCTTTATTTTGTACTGGAGATTAAATCAGGGAACTTTACCATTGAGCCACATTCCCAGACCTTTTCATTTTTATTTTAAGACAGGGTCTCACAAATTCCTTAGGACCTTGCTAAATTGCTGTGGCTGGCCTCAAACTCGCATCCTCCTACCTCAGCCTCCCAAGTCACTGGGATTACAGGCGCGCACCATTGTGCCCAGAAATGACATTATTTCTTATAAATGAAAAAGACTTGCTGAAAGTCCCATGACCCTTCTAAAACATTGGGAACCCCACCCCACAGATCCACACTATGGTGCTTTGACAGTGGGTAGTACTGACCCTTCTCTGCTGACTGCTTTTCTATGCCTATAAGGCAGAGAAACCCACAGCAATGGGAAGGACTCTATCTTCCTAAGAGCCCCACTCACACACTGGTTATCCAACAGTCCACAGCCTCCAGACCACTGTTGAAAATGTCCATTGGGGAGCTTGGGAAGCCAGGAGTAATACCTGGAAAAACCTGAGACCTCCTGACTCTGCTCCTCATGCCCAGAGCAAAGTGCTGCCCTCTCTTCCTGGAGTCCTTTATCTGGACCCCCAAACCAGAAAAGAAAGAAATGCCACCTCAAGGACACTGGACACCTGAAGAAGCTCGTGATGGCAGCAGGGCACCAGGGGAGCAGGCTCCAGTCTGGCCCAGCCAGCAACTTCAACAGGCCCCAAAAGGGAGTAGTAGGTAGGATGGCAAGGAGTGGGGGGATGGGAGGCCATGGCTGAGTGCCAGGGCTGGGCCAAGCACTGACGATTCAAATGCCAGCAGGAGCTGCTGGAGATTCAAGGCAGGTGTCTTCTGAATGCCCTCAGGACCTGGTCATGACATCTCCTCTGGGAAGCTAACCTTGTCTATCCCAGCTGGTTTAGGCCAATAACTTGTGGATCACCCTATCTCTAAACCTCTGGCCTCCAGATGGGAAACATGTCCCCAGTGCCTAGCAGAGTGCCCAACACAGCAGTGCATACAAAGAACCAGGAGGTAGGTTATGAAAGGGACTGTGGTACAGGCAACCTTCTAGCCACGGCTGCTAGTCCCATTCCTGGTGTGATCTGCTGTACCTGCCCAAGGCTAGAGGGTTTGTGCATGCAATAAGACGATCTGTGTCACTGCAAACGAAGGAATTGTACCCTGCACACTGGGGCCTAGCTACTGGGCTCTCAGGTCTGGCCTGTGAGCAGCCCTTCCAGTACCTGCCTGGGGTCCTTCCCAGCCCCAGAAGAAGAGGTGGAGGGCAGAGCTGCCTGCTTACCGTCTCATCCGTGCAGATGGAGTGCACTTGGGTCCCAAACATCACTGACGTGAAAATGAGGAAGAGCAGCGCCTCAAAGCACAGCAGGATGAGGAGGATCACCGTGGTGGGTGGTGAGAAGGAGCTGCACTCTGAAACAGAGAAGGACATGCAGGCTTAGGGCTGCCACCTGCTGCTGCCCAGCTCCCTAAGGCACCTGGATTCCTGCTCTGCCTATGCTGCAGGACTCGGCACCTCTTGGGGGTCCCAAGTCTCTGACCTCCAGGCATGGCAGGTACTGTCCTATCCTACAGCCGGCTACCCCTCACCCTCTTAGGGAAGCCCTCCTCAAGAGGCTCTGGCTGGGGCTTCCCTTTCCCTAACAAGAATCAGCCCCTGCTCCCTGTCCTTGGGTCTAAGCAGACAGCCTGGCACATGAAGACCCAGGAAGGACCATGAACTACAGTAGGACAACCTCATTACAGCATGGGGGCCTCTCCTTCCTCAGAGAGCACAACGCAAGGGCTCAGGTGCAGAGGCCCCTCCAGTCCTGATTTGGCCAGGGGCTCCTAGGCAATCCTGTACAAGGTGTTGCCTCTTTCTGTACCTCCATCAGACCACAGAGAGAAAAGGGGAGGTCTGAAGCATCTGGATTTGAAGCTTGGGAGGGTAGACTAAGCGCAGGGCTCAGCTCTGACCACAGTGTGAGGCGACGCCCTTTCTTCCAGGACATCTGCCTCACTGAGATCATCAGCCCCAAAGGCTGGGGAATTAACTAAAGAGAAAATGGCCTAAGGCAAGCACTTTCACTATACTGGCCACTATAAGGCCACCCTGATTCGGGGAAAGGCCCTGTCCTATCCAGGATTCACTGTAAAGCAGCAGTGTCTGACTAGAGGCCTGTTTGCTCCTGTGTGGCAAAATCTTTTGTCTGAACAAAGTCTAAATAAGAAAAGAAATGTTGGAAGAGAACAGAGGTGCTGTTGGAGATGGTAGAGGTGAGTAGGGTGGACCACACCTGGGACATGCCTGGCCCAGGCCACGGCACTGGCAGTGTAGTCGAGGCCTCTTGGGAGCACTCATTCCCTGAGGACCCTTGCTGAGTGCAGCTGCCTGGGCAGCTCAGGCCTGCTTCCCTGGCTGGAGAGGTTGAAAGACAGTTTGGCTTCACTGGCTCTGAGGATTCAGGGAGTAAGTGATTCTCTGAGTTGCCCTGCTGGTGGCCTCGCAGGAACATCAAGAGTAGTAAGGGAGGTTGCAAGGGCTTAGAAAGATACCAAAGTCTGTGGGGAGGCAGGTAAAGGGACATCTCATCTAAACACCTTCCTTCCCTTAGGTTTCCCTGGGAACTTAATACCTCAAGATATTTTTTTTCTTGGTTCCTTGCTGGGCAGGGCTTGGTCAAGATAGCCCACCAGCCTTCTGGGCTGGCTCTGGGTGGCCATAAACATGGCAGCTGCCTGCCTGGCCATCTGCTGGGCAGGATATTAGGAAGAAATTAATAGGGCTTTGAAGTTAAGCAGACATGCTGGAGTTTGAACCCCTGGCTGTGAGCTCTAACTAATAACCTCATAATTAATAATTAATAATCTGCTGCAACCCATCTTGCGTTGTGGAATTGTCTTTTTCTTTTGGTACTTGCTTGGTATCTGCCTTTCCCACTATACCCCAAGCTTCATGAAGCTGAGGACTTTGCTCACTGCTACAGAACCAGGTTGGAACAGTATCTAACAACAAGAGAATCTGGGCAAGAGGGTTGGGCTTTTCCCTTCTGTACCAGGATACAATTAAGAATTCATAAGAGGCCAGGCATGGTGGTGCACACCGGTAATCCCAGTGGCTCAGGATGCTGAGACAGGAGGATCGTGAGTTCAAAGTCAGACTCAGCAAAAGCAAGGCTCTAAGCAACTCAGTGAGGCCCTGTCTCTAAGTTAAAAAAAAAAAAAAAAAAAAGGCTGGGGATGTGGCTCAGTGGTCGAGTGCCCTAAGGTTCAATCCCTGGTACTCCCCCCAAGACCCCTGCAAAAGAAAGAATTCATGAGAGGACATCTGTATAGCACAGCCTTAGCCTGACACAAGGTCAGAGGGTGCTCACTGGATGGAGGTACCTTGCCTCTGCCTCACCTAACTCGGCTGCCTTGGAGCTGTAGGCAAAGCCCGCGGCAGGGCTTAATCTCCCACCCTGCAAAGCAGCAAGCACCCTTCCCTTCTTGAGCTGGGCCCTGGGGATTACAAATGCAGCCTGGGCAGGCACGATCCAGATTCAGGGGATGTGAAACTACGTCCCTATTCTTCTTTAAACATTAACTCAAAGCACCTCAATCTAGGGGACAGTCCCCATGCCCTCTTAATATAAGCTCCTATGGCCCCACCTGCTCAACCGGGGCCAAGCAATGATGGCATTAACTGTCATACACAGGCAACTTTCAGGTATCCATTCCGGGGACTGTCCTGTGCCTTACTAGCCTTGCTGGTCTAGGAACTGGTGCCTCAAGTCCACTCCGTCAGCAATTTTGAGCAAAGACAAGCAGTGCCAGGGAAGACGCTGGGGTAGCCAGATAAGGTGGAAACCCTTGCTCCAGATCGAGGCTTGAACAGCAGGCCCTCTTCTTGGTTAAATGATCTTAGAACTTGTTCAACCTCTGTGAGCCCCAGTTTTTGTCATTTGCAAAGTGGGGAGTACTCTTCTACCCTGCAGGCTTGTTGTAAGACTGAAACGAGGTACTGCTCAACAAGTCTTTTGTGTGATGTCTGTCTCCTCGTAGACATTAATAAAACCATTTCAAAGACATTCCACCTCACTGACAGTCTCTGTTACTGCCTACAGTTACCCTGATGACAGGTGGGAGGTGTTAATAAAACGTGGAGCTGACCTGCATCCCCAGGGTGTGGCAGAATGAGGGTACTTCAGGAAGCTCACCAAGCGATTGGGAACTTGCTGAAGACTTACTCTCTGCTAGGATCTGCAGATGCCCACTCTCCCCCACCCTTCCCCATGCCTCCTTCTCATTAGTGTGGTCTCCTTCTTTCCCTGGGCTTATGCCAGAAGTATGGCAAGTCAGCCCATGCAGGAAAGGCAATTGCTCTGAAGATGATAAAGTGAAAAAGGGCACCCACCAAGGAAAAAACAGTAGAAATATGATGTTCCCTGCTCAACACTGCCTCAGATTTTGAGTGTGAAAGCTCTAGCCCAGCAGGTGGTCTCTCTCTTTGTTTTCCCTTCCAGAATCTATTTTTCTTTTCCTTCAGAATTTGTAACAGTGTTCTGGTTGGACCTCATTCCATCTGCTCATTTAAATGGAATACTTCTAGAGCAGAGAGAATTTGTGTATGTTCTTAATATACATTGGTGATGATTAAACAGTTTGAAAACAACCACCACAAAAAAACCAAGCAAATCAATAAAAAACTCTATGTCCTAGGCAGAAGGTTAAAAATAGGGACTTTTGCAAAACTAGAATAAAACAACTTTTGATTGATGTGCCCCATTTAGGGCTGGGGGTGTGGCTCAGTGGTGGAGCACTTGCCTAGCATGCTTGAAGTCCTGGGTTCCATCCCCAGAACTGGAAGAAAAAAAAAAAAAAGCCTCAGGTAAAGATAGAAACATAAGCCATCACCCAACATGGTTCCCCCTCCTTGGAACCAGGGTCTCTACTTGCAGGGGCCTTACACTCTCCCTGAGCACACTCAGTGCAATGGGCCTGTTCTACTCATTACTTTACCTGTTAAACTGATTTTTGGGGGCTGCTCTCTTTCATGAAGATAGACTTGGGCCTCTGCTGTTCCTTCCCTGTTCTCTCCATAGTCTTGCAGTAGATTTAACAAACTGAGGTAGACAGCTGGTACCATGAAGGAAACAGAGCCTCCATGAAGGAAATAGAGCTGGATTCACATAGGTGGTCTGTGACCACCCCGCTTAGGTTACAGAACCCACCCTGGAACAGGAAGGGAAGCCCTGGCACATACTCACTTGTCCAATCTTCTTCAAAGCAATGCAGGAAGTGGAATCCCACCATGATGAGGGCGTGCAAGGAAATGAGAGCTATGTACATCTGAAACAGGAAAGCAGTGCAGATGCCATTGTTGTGAGAACCTTCTGACTGTGCAGACTCTGGAGCAGGGCATTCAGAACCTGCTCCTCGGAACACTTAGCTAGGCCGAGGCCTGACCAGGACGGGGCCAGAGAGGCATCTGGTGACTCCCCCACAGGGCCTCCGACCTCCCGCCCTGGGACTGAGGGGAGCAGCCATTCTCTGAGTCTGTGGAACCAGAACAGAAACAAAGCCTGGGCACCAGGCATGACCTGGACTGCCTGGGGGCATGCAAGGCATACTACTTCTCTTCACTTGAAGTTAGGGTGCTGACTGCTAACTTCAAGTGAAGTTAGCTCTGAGTGTTCTCTACCTACCTGCAGCTCAGGACGTGAGGACACTGCTAACACTGCTTGCTCTAGCTACTTAAGCCTGACACCTGGGGTGGGAGCTAATCAACCTGTCTACATGCGAAAGTGAAGGGCACTTTTCGAGCCAGAGATCTTTGGCAGGAGGGTGGAGAGCTACGCGGGCAGGCAGCTTTCTCAAGGGCAGTCAAGACTGCTGTGAATGCTGAGAATTTGCAAAGGAATAAAAGGCTCCGCTGCTGCTTTGTGTAGGGCAGGGCAGACATCAGAAACTGACTTACTGTAAACAGGACGAAGTACTTCTGGTTGTTCTCGCCGACACAATTATTGACCCAAGGGCAGTGGTGSTCCATCTTGCGAATGCACCGCTTACAAACACTGAAACAGCCCACAGGTCAGACCTTTAGGGGTATCCTAACAGTTTGGGGCCTCCAAGGGGAAGGTGGGACCCACAGCTCCAGTTTTACTCCTTAGAAATGGCTCTCTCTAGCACAGTTAGAGGTTTTTCTGGTTTTTTTACAAGGGCCTTGGAAGGCAGGGTCAGTATGCCCAGGGTCACAGTCATTCCCAACAGGGGGACAGAGTCATGGCCTTTTATCTTGTTTAACATATAAACAGGACAGACCTGTCATGGCTGAGAAACAGGCTGCTCTCCTGGGATATCACAGCTGAGAACTGGATTAAAAAACTTGACAGAGTTGGATGGGATACAGAGAAGAATTGCTCCTTACAGCTCCCAAACAAACAAACAAACAAACAAACAAAAAACACCCCAAACGAAGGGTCACACAGAAGTTCCAAAAACACTGCCATGTTCTCCCAGGGATGAGGGTATGCTTTGCTAAGCCTGGCCTGAAGTCTGGTGGCATGGTGGACCTGGATCAGCTGAGCTGCCTGGGTCAAACAGTTGAACTCTGAGCCTCAGGTCTCCTACCAGCATGAAAGTAAAATACATGAGAACACATACTAGGTCTCGATCAGACAAGTGGTGGATTCATACTGGTCTCCATTCTCACTCTTTTCCACCACTCCAAAGGGCCTGGCCAACATAAGCATGCTGGCCTGGCTCCATAATCTCCCTGGGGGCCAGGCAGGCAAAGTAAGAAAGAGGCCTAAAAGGAAGGCAGAGGAAACAGAACACTGGGCACTGGCAACTCCACTGCCCAGTCTGTTTCTCTTTCTCTCTCTGTTAACAATTTTGAACACACACATTTAAAAAAAAAAAATTATATACATACATACACACACACACACACACACACACACACACACACACAGAAAGGAGTGATTTTGTGCCCTGTGTTCTAGGCCTCAGCTACCAGGCTCCCGCTCTCCCAAGGAGCCGCCTGCTACAGCCCATTTCTTGGATGTTCTTCTGGATACAATCAACTCTGGGGTTCCTTATGTCCCTTCTCATCTGAGAAACAGACTCCTGAGAGTACAAACACTCCCTGCTCCAGGGCCCTGAGTAAGTTCCTCTTCTATCTTTACTTATTTCTAAAAGGGTTTTCAAGTGTGTGCTCTTGAAGCAGGGTGGGCTCAGGGGCAGAGAGGCACAAAGTGGCCTTCCATCCTCTTAAAGCTGTACAAGAGTTTAAACAAGTTCTCACGGCAAAGTTGTGCTCTGCTCTCCTCCCAGCTTCACTGAAGAGATGAGGCATTGGCCAGGACGCTGGGCATCACAAGGAACTTCGTCTCACTGGGCAGCCAAATAAGACAAACTCCTATGCTTCAGGCAGCAGGGAAATTAAGAATAGCCACTGAGGCCTACAAAGACTAGCTCAAGATGCTGGTCTTTTGAGTTTCCTGTTCTCAAAGATATGAACCATCAAGATGGCACCTCTTGCTGGATGTGGTGGCATACGCCTGTAATCCCAGTGGCTTGGAAGGCTGAGGCAGGAGGATCATGAGTTCAAAGCCAGCCTCAGCAACTCATTGAGGCCATAAGCAACTCAGTGAGACTCTGCCTCAAAGTAAAATATAAAGGGGCAGGGGATATGGCTCAGTGGTTAAGTACAAAAAAAAAAAAAAAGGCACCTGTCCTCACCCTGGGCCAGGTGGTTGTGGGGTGGGTGGGGTGAAGCACTGTTCAGAGGCTGACTTGCTCACAAAAAGTTCACCTGAATGGCCTGGGCATGGAGCATGTCAAGGGCAAGGCGTGGAGCAGTGAAGGGTGCTTGCACTCTGCCCTGTGGTTTTACCTAAAGACCATCCCCAGGAGGTGGAAAAACCATGAACTTCCGTTTACAAGGCCTGATGACCAATAAGGAATCATTGCCTCAGAGCCAGTCTCCTTTAAACAGAGTGGGCTTGGCAGTGTCCCCTCTCCAGACGTAGCAGGGCAGCCAAAGCACAGGATAAGAGGAAGCCTCACAATCCTTATGGAGAAGCCTGCCACCCTTCTCCAAACATGCCGCAGTTACCTTACTGTCTTGCTGGGGACAGGCCTGATGCCAGAGGACCCTTTCTCCATTCTTCTCACTTGGCAAAACTGAGTCCTCTGAGGCACCCTCCTAACTTGCTCTTTCCTTAACATGCCTGAAAGCTCTCTCCTTGCACTCTTTTCTACCACTAATTCCAGTAAATTATGGACGAGATAGTGTGGGCTGGTAAGTTCCTGGGGCACAAGGACCACATGTGCGATACGTCATTAAAAAGACCAAATGCCTTATATGGAAGTATTTTTTTTGTGTGTCCTTGCCATCCATACTTCCCAGGCCCCTTCTATGTTTTAAGTTATTGTTTTAGAAGAAGGCAGATGCTTCTCTTCCCCACTTCTTCCAGGTTCCCTACCATTTTTCAGGACTCAAAGCTTGGGAGAACCCAACAAGCTCATTGGCTCGTATGCATCCATGGACTCCCTCTGTGTTTATGTGTTCCCTCTCCAGGGAGGTGTACAGGCCTTTCCTAGGTATGCAGCCTCAAATGAGGTAGCTGGGGCTCTGGTGCCCATCCTGGGTAATGGTCGTATATGCAACATAGGCATGACTGTGTGTGTCTCTCATAGCAGTAATTATGGAATTGTGCCACAAGATGAGGGCCTGTCCTGCCTGGGTGAGAGGCCCCTAGAGTCAGGACGATTTCTAACTCACCAATATAAGCACAGAGCCAAGCCCAGGGCCTTCCATAGCAGAGTCTGCTGAATTAAGGCTTTGATGCTACAGACAGGTAATGAGGAAGCCTGGGAAACGAGCTGACTCACATCTGCCTAGATGCTCCGGTAGGGAAGATGAAAAGAAAACAGCAAGAAGTACTGGAGGGGTCGTGGCATCACACACAGGTTTCACTGCATCACACCTCACTGGCTATGACAAAAGTATAAGCAAAAGATCCATAGCACAGCCCAGCACAGCTCAGAATCGAGTTTGTGAAAGACAGTGCAATGTGAGGGAAAGAAGAGGGTCTGAGGACACAGCTTCATCTTGGGTCTGGGCAAAGCAATGGAGGTTCTCCACATCAGCCTCAGGAGAATTACCCTGATCTTTCATGTAAGCACCAATAATGTGTGCTAAATGCTTTAAAAACAATACTCATGCTATGTACATTTTATTAGTAGTCTTAGCAACGAGAAACACAAAACAATAAGAATCTGGTAGGTGCACAAAGCAACCTACCACTGTCTCAGCCTCACTGTGAATACCTGGAGAGGTTGAAGCGTGGCTGAGGCATTGCTAAGGAGGGGTCTCCACCTCCTCCAAGAAGAACCCAGCATATAAGCCCAAAGCCTTGACCATCCACATCAGTACAAATGGCTCCTCTTACAGGATTTCCACATGCTTCCATGGTCCTTGTGACTGGGAGATTTCATACCAGGATGAAAGCAGCGTGGGGTTCTAAGTGCTTCTAGAAGGTGAGACCTACCTGCACACACCCTTCAGGTGTATGCAGGTCTGGGTGTATTTGTGGTACCCACCAGAGCACAGGGAATGGAGACAGCGTCAAATTCAATGGGCTCTGTTGGGAACATAGGATTAAAAGAGACGGGGACAAACACAAGTGGGCATACCGAGCAGGCAAGCCCAGAGTCTATCAGCTCTAACTACAGTAGACTGGGCTCAACCAACCGTCAACAAGCCCAGGCTGTCTCACATGCTGGGGATTCTGCTTATCCAAACTGTGGGTCCCCAGATGGCCTGGGCCACATGTGCCGTCACGAAGAAGCAGCTGTCAGCACACACTTCCTGAAGTAGGAACAGGCGATGCACAGGCATCCTGGCTTGCTCATCTGAGTCAGCAGCTCCTGCTGCTCAAGCTGATGTGTTTACTAGCACTCAGAACACCTCCCCTGGTCACCCGGGAGGGAGGCGAGGAGGCGGCAGGAAAATGCCTGGCAGTGAAGGCAGCTGAGGTTGTGGGGAGGGAAGAGAAAAAAACCACTGTGGTTGCCCCAAAGTTCTTTTCTACAAAGGCAATAACTCCGTTTCTGGTCCTGCTTTTATAAACCCAGCACATCTCCAAGTCTCTACACATTCTTCTACGAACAAGTAGCTTCCACTCGCTGAGCTGGGCAGCTTGAACAGTTATTTAAATTTAATCCTCATAACAAGCTACGGAGGAACAACCCTCAATTATGGGAGAGAAAGCAGAGGCCTAAGAGTCACAGTGCAGTGGAGACAGTTCCAGATTTCCAACAATGACCTCTCCAACTTCAAGGCCAGAATCTGGTCCAACCCTTGGGGCTATTCTGAGGAACCACACAAGCAAGTTGGGTGCTCCTTAGACAGCAGCTAGCTCCAGAGCCCCAAGATGGCAGGAAAAGACTAGACTGATGCTTCCATCTCAGACACAAGAAGCAAACCTGATGTGGACCTCAGAAGCAAGTTGATCTAGATAGAAACCCCGCAGGGGACAGCAATTGCCACAGGACTCTGCTGGAGTACCTCCTTCACTCTCAAGCAGGTGGCAACTAGTTGGGCAGGCCCACAGATCAATCGATCTCTCTCTTTCAGAGAGACGGAGAAACAAACATACAAGTATATAGGGTTATATGAGTTACTCCCAAACTGGAGTTCTAGTGGAAAGAGTCCTGCTGGGACCTGGAGCCAGAACCACCAGGACCTTAGTACTCACTACCTTAGCACCACCAGTCTTTAGTACTCACTGGCTGCAACACCTTAGAGCAGTCACTTAACCACCATGAGCTTTAGTTTCCTCATCTAGGAAACTAGGAAGAGTAGCCCCTACAGAAATACCTAGCTCTCAGGGTGGCTGTGAAGATAGAAATCAGATGAGTGATGAAGGGACAGGAAGGGTAAGTGCCTTGATACAGCAAGAACCAAGGAGCCGACTGGAATCTGAACCCTAGAGACTGACTAGTCTCTTCTGAGAGGTGGACAGTGAGGACTACAGGGAAAGACCACCTTTTATTCACTCAGATATCTCACTTGACCCAAATAGCTCCATGGCCTCGGGCTGATAAGGATGACCTCTCACCTCTGAGAGCAAGTTCATTCCTCCATGACCCTCCCCACCCCAAATACAAGCACTGGTCTGAAAAGGGGACTCAGTGACATTTCTCCCTCTGTATTCTAGCATTTAAAATTCTTTCTAATGATAAAATATAATTTTTATTTAGATATCGTCTCAACAAGAAGACTCAAAACAACAAAGAAATCTGAAAATAAAAAGGGAAAACTCGCCAGATAAGATGGGAAAACATTTTTTTGAGCTGACTTCTACAATAGCCATAACCTCTAGAAGTTTGGTTTTAAAGGAAAGTCTTTATTCAGGAGCAACCCTTTGTTTCAAGTATAAGATGTTCACAGAATGATTTTCTAAAGCTTTGTCTCATGGTCTCCTTGTCATAAAAGCTGTGAAGTGGTAGAAAAAACAGGAGTTCCCTCAATTTTATATATATGAAAACAAAGGCCTGCTTCAGGTGTGGCAGAGCCAAATCCTGGGGCAGATGTTCTAAGTCCAAATCACAAGCCCTTTCCAATCTAGTGGGCTCACAGGGACCAGGATGCACATGCACAATGTGCAGAGCCAGGGGTGTTCCGAGTCCACTTTCTGACTTGGCACCTGTGGGGGAAGTGTGTGCTACTTCAGGGTATATGTGTGACAGGAGGCAGGGTGGCTGAGAGGAGACAGGGGAGCCCCAGCCCGTGTACCTGCAGTGGTGGGCTCTGTCGGGCTTGATGCTGCAGCATTTGGGACACTTGTATACCACCTGCCCAGGCTTCAACTGTAAACTCTCGATAAATTCTTTAGTGGCATTTCCTTTGGGCACTGCCCCCTGTAAGAAAGAGGAAAAGTGTCAGGGTTGTGCTGGCAGTTCTATCAGTCATAACACTCCAAAGTGGAGACAGTCATTTCAAAGCAGCCACCACGCATGTATAAACTCTATTTTCTGAATTATATCAACAGTGAAGACTATTTATTTATTTATTTATTTATTGGTGCTGGGGATTAAACCCAGGGCCTTGTGCGTGAACTACATCCCCAGCATTTTTTATTTTATTTTGAGACAGGGTTTCACAGTAGTCCAGGCTGGCCTTGAACTTGTGATCCACCTGCCTTAGCCTCCAAAGGAGCTGGGATTACAGGTGTGCACTACCGTGCCTAGTAAGGAATATTTATTGACAATGAATTTTTCTGAGGAAATGCCATTAGGCTACATCAATTCCTTGATCAATTTTCTACAAAGAATAGTACATTGTTCCTGATTATTTTCTATTTTAATTTTGCTAACATCACTGAATCCATTCTTGCCTACCTAAATGTTACAGTAACAATCTGACTCATAATGATTTTGGTCTACATTAAATTTCCTGTTAATAGCATCTGCCTTTGTGAGTTTTCATTGGTGGGCTTCACATCTAACAGTCCAGTTTTCCTAGACCAAAATGTGCAGCTCTAAATTTCAATGGGTTATGTTTACATTGGAATCATATTTTATTTTAGTTTTAATCAGCACTATTATTATGAAGGATTAGAAAGTTGTATTTCTTCCTTAGTAAATTCCCAAGCAATAGGGAGCCTCGGTCTCAGGTATCCGACTTGTTATCTGGCCAGAAATACCCTCTGATTTGCTATTCCATCTGGCTTGTGGACACTTTGTGTTCTTATTCTAGCTGACCAGATTTGGGCACAACCAACAGCAGGGCCAAAATGCCATCAGAATCTGTTGTTGCTCTGCATCCATCCAAACAGAAGGAAACTGGCAGTGCCCAGTCTGAACGGGGTCTGGGAGCCAACCCTCACCAAGTGCCTACTTGGCGCTGAGCCCTGCTCATGGCTATGGACTCAAGAATCAATTTCCAGGAGGCTCATGGTCTTTTGCAGGCTAACAAACAATTCTAATAGAGGGGATTACATGTTGTAGAAGTCACTTATGTTGAGAGAACTCAGAGGAGGCAGTAACCAACTAACCAGGGGAATCAGAAAAACTTAAGTTTTAAGAAATTGCTGTTTAAGGGCTGTCCAGAGGAGTGTGACAAGGTTTTCCAGTGAGAGCTGGGGGAGAAAAGGGATTCCAGCAGAAGGGTCAGGCGTAAAGGCGAAGTGAGAATGGGCCTAGCACACTTGGGAGATGGTGAGGAAACCAGTGTTCTGAGCCCAGGCGTGCAGTGTTAGCAGAGAGACCGGGGGCAAGGGCAGCCCATGTGGAGTGTTCAATGCCAGACCTAAGGATGGGTTGGGTTTTCTTTCTGGGCAGCAATTGGGTGATACCAATGTTTCAGGAATAGAGCTCATCTGTCTGTGCTATGTGGACCACGTAAGGAGGAGAGATTAAAATCCCAGAGACCACTTAGGAGGTTACTGTTGACAGTCTAGTAAGAAAGGACTAAACTATGAGAATAGAAGTGAAATGGAGAGAAAATTCAGACACCTGAGCTTATAAAAGGTGTAGTACAGAACCAAGTAAATACCGTGGAGATATGGGGGCTGACACAGGGGAGAAGAGGAACACTGATAAGGTTTGGAAGCACCCTTAAGCCACCAAGAAGATACTGGAGAAGCAAGTTGTGGGGAAGAGTGGGCAAGTTCAACAGGGGCCTGCTGGGTCTGAAGTGCCCAAGGGCTCCCAGGAAAAGATGTCAGGAAGGTAGCTGGGAATATGAGTCCAAGAAGCACAAGAGAAGAGTGCCTGGTGGACAGCACAGGGGTGAGGGGTGGGCTTGGAAGTCCACTGTCCCTGCTTTAAATTTGACTTCCACATTTGTCTGTCTGTGCTATGTGGACCACGTAAGGAGAGATTCTCTTCAGAGAATCTTGGGTCTCTCTGTGCCTTAGTTTCAGTGAGTCAGGATTCATCTTACCCAATCCCTAGCACTACCATGAAGGTTACGCCACACACAGTTTATGGAAAGAGCTCAGATGATGCGTGCCACACACAGTGCTCAGGATATGGTAGCCCGGATTCTAGATCCAGCATTGGCATCAACTCTGTAGCTTAAAAAAATACAGACACCCAGAGCTGCAGCACTACTACATAAAGGCTGAACATAAAGACACCTGCACTTTATAAAACCTCCAGCAGAGTTCTGAGTGAGTGCGACTGTGGATTATCAGGTTGGGATAGTGAGGGTTTCAGATAGAGCATCACTTGTTCCTGTGGAGGGAGGTTGACAAATGGTCACAAGCCAAGGAGGTAATCTCAGAGCAGGAGGGATTAGGAATGAATCTTAGAACCTATCTGAAAAGAAAAATTCTGGGAAGGGAAGAACTATGGAAGAAACAGAAAAATCTTCAAATGCTGAGAATACAAGGAAGCTGTAGTTTTGTTTTGGATAAGGGAATGACCCACAATGAATAAACAGTCCAGCTAAGGCGACTACAGAGACAAATCAACCAACAACTCTCTTCTACACTGCGCCAAGCACTGTAGGAAACACAGAGAAGCGATGGGACCTCAGGGCCTCCAACAGCTGGTGAGTAGACAGTGGCGCAGACTGAAGAAAGGGATCCCAGGAAGGCCAGGAGGATCCTGGTGGATATCATACAGGAGAGGGACACCAGGGAGGGGAACCAGTTCAAGCCTTGGCCCCAATGTGGGAGTATAGAACTCCTCCTGGCCTTTCTGTCCCTCATGTGGCTCTTCGCTGGGCCCCCAAATTCTCCTTGCTGAGGCTCTCCTTCTCCTAAGGACCTATTCACTCCTGAGAGGGGCAGCATTTGACTGACCTGTCGTTTAGAGTGATGTCACACTCCCCCACTGGTGGCCTGAAGATGAGGAACCTTGTGGAAGCAATGAGAAAACACTTGTTCACACACATGCTTATCTCCCTGGTGGGGGCTCAACTCCCTCAGGTGTTCCATTAAATTTTCTTTTAAAAGTTAAAAAAAAAAAAGGAGAAAAAAATTGGTCTGCAAAATACAGTCAGATGTCAGAAAAGCCTATGATAGAAAATTTGAAAGCAAATAAACTTTGGTGGGTAAGAACCATATGGTATGTACCATGTCATTTAAAATGTAGTTTTTGACAGTAAATATGTATTTTAATTGATGAGAAACATCAACAATACACACACATATGAACAGGAACTAAAAAGATACATGCAAAAGTATTAGTGGTTGTCCTGAGGTGTAGGATCATGGGTACTTTTTATTTTCTTGATTGTATTTCTTAAATGTTCTCTTGTGAACATGTTGGCTTGTGCTATAAGGGAAAAATCCTTAAAAACACAGACAATAAATAAGTAAACAAACCTCAAGAAGGAGCTACCTAAATAGAAATATGACCAGTTTTCCTAAGTTTGTAACCAAAGTGCTATTAATGTCTTATTTTGAGCCATCTAGGCTGAGGGTCTCACAAATCCCCAGAGGGCTTGTAATGCAAAAACTAACTGCATTTGGGCAACTTTATGACCTTCTGTTTATCCTGAAATATTAATAATGCAACCAAAGTCACTACTGTCATGTATAGAAGATAAAAAGTGCAAAGAGACATCATTTCCTCAAGAAGCACTGGAACTCAGCTTTCCTTAATGCAGACACAGGTGGGCCCCCTGAAGACCCCGTTTTTAAGATGGTCCCAGATACCACGGAAGGACACAAGACAAAGTCCCTCTGTAATAGGCAGTCAGAGGTCCCACTGGCTACCCTCATTATCTCAGGCTTTTTCAGATCTCAGTCAGAGCCATTTTAGCAGTTCAGTCTTCCTCAAAGTTTGACTTTCCACTGTGATCCATTTGCATAAATCTCCCAGAAGGCTTATCTCCATCCAGACAAGGTCCCACCTGCCCAGCCACCTGTGCCCATCCCTCAGAGTCAGAGACCAGCTGGGCCAGTCCCCGCGATAGCAATCTGTGACAAATGCACTTTCCAGCCACAGAGGAAGTTTTCCATCCCCTCCACCCTCCCACCTCTTTCTCAGGAAGATGCTCTTCTGCCCACATTTTCACAGATTTCAGAACTGTGGAAACTGTTATCAGTCCATGGAAAAGAATTTTGCTCTACAATAATCCTAGACAGATAGCAGGGAGGCAGTAGGAAGGTCTATGGAGACTTTTTGCCAGTGAGATACACCAGCCCTCCTCCCTACCTTGCAGGGATGTCTCAAAGGTCCCACATTACCACAGCCTGGTAGATCAAAGGCACTGTTTTTTTTTCCTTCACTTCCAAAAGAATATATACTTGTTCATGATCTTTAAAAAGAAAATACAGATGAGAAAGTGAAAAAAGAAAAATCCACAGGCAGATACTATTACTGTTTTGAAGCATATTCTTCTAATCTTTTTTTCTTGGTACCTAGTAACCTAACAACACTTTAAAAATTTGTAGATCTATAAAAATGTTCATATGCTTCCAAAATATACACATGGCCCCACAGTGGAATCAGTTCAAATGTGGTTAATTTAGTTTACAGAATTGTGAGAAGTCATTAGAGCTTTCCTATACTCTATACCCTCTGCACAGAAGGAAGGAATGTAATGTGTTCATGTGTGGCAGGAGGCATGACATGTCTCCATCCGCCATTTCCCTTAGTGGCTAGCCCAAATTTCCAGGACCTACCTTGACCTTGACCCTGACACATCTCCTTCTCCCTTCCTTCCTTCCTTCTTGCGTCAAGGTCTTCCTGTGTTGCCCAAGGATGGTCTTAGACTCACCATCCTTCTGCTTTAGCCTCCCAAGTAGCTGAGATTCTAGACTTGCACTACAGTGCCTGGCACAAAACCCTCTTCATATCCCTTAACTCCCTATGCCCCCCAATCTCTGGACACACTGGTGCTCACTGTCTTCGAGGACTAGGGGCCCAGCTAACCCTGGCCCTCAGGGACCCTTTCCATTACT